CTTTCTCTCTGAGGGCTCCGCGGACGCTAGCTCAAGCGTTTCTTCAATGGAGCACTGTTGAACTCAGGGAGACCGACCCGGATAGGGTCCGGTAGCGGGACATCATCTATGTAAAACTATTCCGAAGGCCAGTCCTCGGACGCCTTCTTTGGGGTTCCGGATAGGTATCCGGTCCCGGCGATGCGCCATACTTCGGCTCCGCCCACTTGATATATAGACCCCTTTTCAGAACGGGGCACCAGGCAGAATAACCTCTTCCACAGCGCGAAATGAGCCTCAACGCCTAAAAATAGCTCGCAAAGGGCGACGAAACCCGCAATGTGTAATACGGAGGCGGGCGTGAGATTGTGCAGCTGGAGGCCGTAGAACTCTAGAAGCCCGCGGAGAAATGGGTGAATTGGAAATCCCAGTCCCCTTATTAGATAAGGGACAAGGCACACCCGCTCTCCTTTGGAAGGATTGGGGGTGCTCTCCGCTTGTTTTCCGCCATTATAGGTGGCGAGACCGGCTCGGACCGGGACCATACATGCCTGAGGGAGGAATCCCTTGGCCTGAAGTGACGCTAACTTGCTGTGCGGGATGGTGCAACTCTCCCAGTCCCCGGGTTTGGGACCGGAGGGGCGAGGGGAGGGGCTACGACGGCTGGTCATGATGGAATGGACCTTTGTTGGAAGCGCTCTGATGATGACTCGCGGAAAGGAGAAGATGTGGTTTGGACCTAAATCCCCATCCCGTTAAATAGGCGGATTGTTTATACGGCTAGGGGTGTGGATGTAAAAATGCCCCGGCTTTTCGCATTTGTTTGAACACGTGGAAGACGGCCATTATTGGGTATGGAAGCCGAGGAGCACTACATTACAAAAATCGGACATTATTCCTACAGGTGCACAAGATTTGGAGAAGAACCCGCCTTGCAATGCCGAACAATCTGCGCGCCGGACTCGTCGTCATTGAAGTCTGGTTCGGGGGCTACTGAGGGAGTCCTGGATTAGGGGGTGTTCGGGTAGCCGGACTATACCTTCAGCCGGACTCCTGGACTATGAAGATACAAGATGGAAGACTTCGTCCCATGTCCGGATAGGACTTTCCTTGGCGTGGAAGGCAAGCTTGGCGATGCGGATATTCAAGGTCTCCTACCATTGTAACCGACTCTGTGTAACCCTAACTCTATCTGGTGTCTATATAAACCGAAGGGTTGTAGTCCGTAGGCAATCAACTCCATACACAACAATCATACCATAGGCTAGCTTCTAGGGTTTAGCCTCCTTGATCTCGTGGTAGATCTACTCTTGTACTACCCATATCATCAATATTAATCAAGCAGGAGTAGGGTATTACCTCCATCGAGAGGGCCCGAACCTGGGTAAAACAAAGTGTCCCCTGTCTCCTGCTACCATCCGGCCTAGACGCACAGTTCGGGACCCCCTACCTGAGATCCGCCGGTTTTGACACCGACAGCATTTCCAACGTGTTTATGAAATTCGTACTATTAAGAAGGGGTCTGCATTGGAAGGTATTGGGTGAATCAAACATGTACACATCCTTTTGTTGAACCCACGTATAGCCTTCCATTTCAAGGAGAGAGCCTCTCATCTAACCTATGCAAAGAATCTTGCCCAGAGCGGTTGTACCACAAGTAGCAGCGGTTGTATCACTTCCTTTGTGGAGTGGTCGCTTGCTGCTACCGCCAAGGCGGTTATACCGTGTCAATAGCGGTTGTACTGCCTAGAGTGTTGGTGGTCCAATCGCACCTTACACCGACTCAACCACCATCTAGTGGGCCTACTGTATTAGCGTGGTACCCGGGCGGTTGTTGCCCGGTTGTTCTGGTAGTTGTTTAATTACCGGTATAACCCGGGTTCAGGGTGGTTGCAGCACTAGGAACTTAGCAATTCCCAGACATCGTCTTTGGGCGGTTGAACCGGCCCAAGTACTGCTCGAACCACCATCGTAAGGGTGATTCCTACGAGTATTGAGTTGTACAAGGGAGGTGGTCATTCGTTTATTCTGGTAGATTGCTATGTGTCGGTACAACTGGACCTCCTAGCAGTTGTACCGCTCCGACTCTGAAAATGGTCAGCTACACGTTGGGCGGTTGTACCGCCCCTATGCGTGACTGCACATAACAGTTGGATTTGAGGGCGCCACTATAAAAGGAGGTGGTTCTTCCACCTCCCACCTACCTCTGGCCACTCTCTCTCCTCCATTGTTTCCCTAAGAGCTTTCTTGGCCGATCTCCTTCTCTAGACAACCAAACTTGTTGATTTTCTAGGTATTGAGGGAGGAGACCTAGATCTACACTTCTACCAAAGGAAATTTGATTCCCCCATACTTTCGCATGTGGATCTTGTTACTCTTGGGTGTTTGGGCACCCTAGACGGAAGTGGTCACCTCGAAGCCTCATTCCATTGTGGGAAACTTTGTGGTGGTGTTGGGAGCCTCCAATTAAGTTGTGGAGAGAGCGTCAACCTTGTTTGTAAAGGTTTTGGATGTCGCTTCAATGGCACCGCTAGTGGAATTACGGCATCTTGCATTGTGCGAGGGCGTGAGGAGAATAAGGTGGTCCTAGTGACTTCTTGGGGAGCATTGTGATTGTACCTCCCCCAAAGGAGGGAACTTCGGAAACACATCCTCGTCTCCATCGACTCCACTTGCGGTTACTTTGTGCCTTTACTTCGCGCAAGCTTTTATCGGATTTACTTTGAGTTTGCACTTGTTTTGTGTTGCTTGTTATTGGTTGTGCACCTAGTTGCATATCCAGGCAACCTACTTTATTGTTCGAGGGGATTGGACATGCATATCTAGTCATACCAATGAACCTCTCAACTTGTTTTGTGTTGCTTGTCATATTGGTTGTGCACCTAGTTGCATATCTAGGCAACCTACTTTATTGTTGAACCTAAAATTTGTGCACCTAAAATTTGGCCTAGCGTTTTGACGAGTATATCATAAGGCGAGGGGATTGGACATATGACACATTGGGAGGTTCATTGGTATGACTTCGTGGAACTTACGAATTGACATGTCTTGTTAGAGGCCACTACCACTTATTGTGCCAGTTCAAGTTGGCCTGGCACGAGTTGATAAACTTGCTGCCAGAGCAGCAACTCATGACGCGATTAAGGAGTTCCCCGAGCACCTTGGTCGAGTAAGAGTTACTCGGACCACTCCCCATGTCCTAGTCGACATGAACCCGTGGGGTCACACACCTAAGGATACTAAACCCACTTGGATAAGATCCAATGTGTTATGGGGACTGGACTCCGTGTGGGCCTCAAGAATTGAGTCCATGAAGGGGAGGGTATACAAGGAGGCAGAGTGTAATATTATGTCATAGAAAAAACACAAGGGTTTCAAGAAGCCTTCCAACAACTGCCGCCAGCTCCTTCCTTGATTGCAAGAGGAAACTTAGTAGTCCATCGCTGAGTTGGCCCAAACTGTATGTGTGGATGCACCTGGGGAGGCGTTGCACTCTGAGGATCAGGTGAAATGAACATGGATCGATCGGTGATCGAGAGGGTAGAGCCATAAAACTACGAGCAAGGAGTAGTTGTACGGCTACAGTTGCACTGACAAGCTTCATCGACTCTATGTCCTCTACTGGTTGGCAAGTCGAGTGGTATGTTCTTGATCTCCCTCCTGCAACTTGATCTTGGGCAGTGCAGGGTGGAAATTTTTGTGTTGCCCTTAGTTCATAAGAGGACTGCCTCATCCTTTGTTGCACCAAACGGTGTAGAGGAAGCCCAATAATTTAATGGTGATGGAAGGGAAGAGATGAGAAATGATGGTGAAGAGGAAGGACCAACAACACGATGCGTAGAATTTAACACGAAAGCTGAGAAGGTAGAAACCCGAGTTGATGAGGGAAAATGAAAGGAAAGCAGGATCATGGGAAGAAGAGTGGCGAACTGCCAGATTGCCTTCTTATGATGATATGTGAGCCCAAGCTCTACATGAAGGTCTCCAAGGAGACATGGATCTGCAACACCGATCTTGTCCATTGGAAGTCTTTCCGGGGCAGAATGGTCGCCCAACAAAGGTTGTTGCCAACAACAATCATGTTGCTCTTGAGGAGATGAAAGTAGTGGTCGAACATCAGCGTCACAGAAGAAAGATTTTTTTTGCAGAAGAGCAACAAATATAAGCGTCGAACATCAGCGTTGCAAAAGAAAGATGAACTCCGCGTTCATGCCATTTTAGCATTGTCACATAAGAATAGCGGGTGGGATAGAAAAGAGAAACAAAAAAATGTGTTGCCTTCTCTTAACTAAGAGATGTTTTTTTACATTAATCAATATACGAAGTGTCTTCTTTAGTACACACGTTTTCTAAAAAAAGATCCAATAATTTCAGGATCTTGTGCCATTAAATGATACAGATAACACTAAGATAGACTCCCACCGTTCACAAATATAAGATGTTCTGACTTTTTTGTGATCGGATGTATATAGACATGTTTCACAAATATAAGATGTTCTGACTTTTTTGTGATCGATGTATATATACATGTTTTAGCGTGTTTATTCACCCATTCAATCCGTATGTAGTCCATAGTAAAATAACCAAAACATCTTATGTCTATGAATGGAGGGAATAATATATTGTACAATATGTTGTATTGCCAAGTGGAATACACAAGAAAATGTTGGTTTATCAAGTTATGTGACGTGGATAAGGACAATGAATATTGCTATACCAGAGGAATATGTGTAAAAATCACTCGGGTTTACATAAGAAATTGTTGGAAGTGCCACCGCAATTTGCTTTGACTGGAAGACCGATATATAATTTCTTTTTATTATTATATAGATGGAAGACTAATATAATACAGTAATAAATAAATGTACGAAAGCATAAACAAGACTAATTGACCTTCGGACCCAAAAGGAATCAAGGACAATGGAGCACGCTACATTCATTTAATCCGATCACCACAATATTTCAAGGCTCGCTCCCCAAATCAGCTTTTGCTAGAAATGCTTGCTTGGTTCCTACAGCAACTAAGCATCCTCATGATTGTCCTCCATCTCTTCATCATCAGCCACTAACTGCACCATGCCACCAGCACCAATGAGCTCCATTTGTTGTACCAGCTGCTGCAGACCCTCCGCGGGTATCCCTTGGAATCTCAGGAACGCGTCAAACAGTGATGAATTGTCGAGTTCCATCCTGTGGTCAGGTGTGTGCTGCTGATTAAAGCGGCCTGGGAGCTTTGAAGTGCTGTCGTAGCATTCCCCGCAAAGGTCGAATCCAATTGCCTCTGTGCAATCCTTGCATTTGTATCGCTTGCCTCGTATCGGATAGACCTGCAAAGCATTCATCAATCCAATTTTGCCCAAAAGGATCAGAGTAACTCAAGACATGGGAAATGAAGCTAGGATACATGGATGCGTATCAATACCTCCCACTATGATTTGCATAAGTTTTTTCTTTTGTATGTAACAAGATATTAGAAGAAGGTTTAAGAGACCACAAAGGTTGCTAATGTTGGTTACTGAACAGTGAGCACATAAATTTAAAAATTGGAATGAAAACAATACTAATGTTGCAACCAAATTTCTAGTTATTCGTCAACCCGCACTTGAATTAAGAACTACCTTTCACATTAGAGCAATATCTTCAAATAAAAGGTAAAACTGTGTTTATGGAGTATTAAAAAAACGTTATAAAACAGATACTGGAGCACAAATTTATTAATGGAATGGGAAAATTCATTAAAAAGACTAATTGGGAATAGGTGCTAACACTAGATGGGCTACCTGGATAGGCTTTTTATTCGTTGGGTAACTTGATGGAAGATTTACACAATAACACCAAGAGGACAACAAAATGAAGATGCATACTCAGCAAATCATTTCAAAATTCTTAAGTTCAAGAAATCATTTTATCTACCAATGGTGGCTCCATTGGTACGGTTTATCAACTGAATGTATGCCAGCTTGACTAATTACTAGCAAGGTTATGGACTTTCTAATTTGTACAACTTGAACATACCCCGCATGAGTCACATCCAACTCCAATGTGAACATTTGATAAGTCTAGAGTCTTCTGTACAAAAGTTCCCTTCTTGCATGAAGTACCTGAACCACACAAAACACAGGAATCATGTACAAAAAAATGGATCAGGCATGTGCTTCATTTCATAACATAATTTACAAAGATGTCAAGTTGCACTTCATGAAGGTTAAGTAATTCTGTGACTCAAGGATAAAACTCAAAGTTTTTGAAACATTTAAATTGAGTTCTCAAATGTGAGAGCATGGAAGCATTTGATGGATGGGAGCACCAGATATTCTCCCATTATCTATATCTATCATTATATTTGAAACATGCAGCTGAACTTATGTCTGATTAGGGACCACAGTTTGTGGTAGAAATTGCCCACACAGCTTGAAACAGCAACAGGTACAGGGGTTCGACACCACAGGGGTGCGAGTAGGCCTCTGCTACTGTTTTGTTTCAACAATCTAGCATAATTGTATATGGGATCTAATTATTTCTTTTAGTTCTTCAGAAATTTGTAGGGTACAGTGTACATGGGTAGTTTTGGGTTTTCTTTTTTGTTAATGTTCACATGATATGTGTCTACAATCCTAAAAAATTCAGATCCAAATTCGAATTACACATCACAAAACAAAAAAGACAAATCAAGGTGTGAATAGTGTAGTTTCTGCGTTTGTCTTTTTGTGACACTATTCATGTTGGATTTGTCTTTTTAGTTTCACCATGTGCATTTCAAATTTGGATCTGACTTTTTTAAGGGTTGTAGATACAGAATAACCTATATAACCAATGACCAACTGTAATAGTTCTTGACATATCAGTAACCACACCATGCTTCTCAGTGTGCACAAAATTAACGACATTGACTAATGCCGGAAATCCCTCCTAAATGAATATTTTGAAGACTAAATCAACAATACATGGAAGTAGATCATTATATGAAGTATCGCTAAAACAAACTAGATACTCCTTCAATTTTTATTTCAATGAGTTCCTGACACACACTATAAAAGTGTATTTCATATTAACACAACTATGTTAAGGTTAATGTTTGTTGATCAATTAAGTGACAACACAACAGTTGAAGGTAAAATAAGGCACTGCTAAAAACAAGTGCAAGTAGCCAACAAACAAAAATTAATAGCGGACGAAAACTGTCAATATGGATACCTCCGGACAAACAAATCAACTTAAAAGTGTGCATTCACATTTAGCTAACAGAGTAAGTCAAACACCAATTTCACAATTAGCATGATGAACTTGATGCACAGCATTATGTTGTTAAGGTAGAGAGCTATATGATATGTGAGTCTGAGCTACACAAAAAAAGGCTTACTTGAAGATGATCCTTCAGGATTGCATTGGCTATTCTCAAGCTGAAGTTTCTTGCGTCTTGATTCATATTCTGCTGGAAAATATTCTTCCAGAAAGTGGTCAAGATCTAAACAAACATTAGGAAAATCTCCAGGATGAAGACCTCCACAGACTTGACATTTCAATGCTTCATCACCCACGGAAGGCAAACAAGATATGCAATACACTTTTCACAAAACCAAAGATAAGTCAGTTTATATAAAGAAAAGAAAACTACAAAAATTGGCCAACCCTTCTTATTCTAAATTTAGAGCTTACCATGACCACAGTTAAGAACAGCAGGTTGATACAGCAGCTCCTTGCAGATAGGACAAGACACATCATCTAACTTTATTTTCATTGAATGTTCGTTCATAGTATTGTCATCAACTGAGACTTCTCCTGGAGGTCCAGTTTTGCCATCTTCAAGCTTGTTGCCCCAATCTTCTCCATTTTCTTGAAAAAGTGCAAAGGCTTATGCATACAGAACTATACTGGGGAAGATGTCATTGCAATTTGCAATTACATAAAAAGAATTCTTACCACCATTATTGTTCTTGGAGTTTAAGAACTCGATGATTTGTGGAGAAAAGGTATCCACACTCCTCTCTTGCTCTGAATTGTAACCCAATTAGAGCATAATAATATTTCATAATTCATAACAAGCAAAAAACGAGGAATACTAATTAAAATAAGGGAAACTAGTGTTTGGTGGAAAGTAACTTAATTTACAATTGAAACCTGATGGTAGAAGAAATAGGTTCAAACTTAAAAATTGATAGACATCTAAATGGCAGGGAATGTGAATTTCAAGGGCTGCTGTACATATGATTGTTAATACCTCTACACAATCAATACCCATGAGACTTAAACCCTAAAGTGATGTTTCTCCCCTATCCTTCAATATGTCCCGGTGATCTTGCAGAGAAATCTCCATCTCTCGAAACCAGCAACCTCTTTTGCATCAACGCTCACGTTGCCGATTAGGCACAAGTGCAGGCATAGTGAGGGACAGTCCAAACCAAAGCCAACAGCTCAAACATGTTCACCTTATACCTCCACCAGGTTCCCATCCTATCTTGACCGAGCAATTTGGGTATGATGGATATGAAAACAACTTGTGGAGTGTGTTCTAGTTTGGTAGAACTGGTGGTATGCTTGCATTCTGGATGTCATTTCCCACACAAATTTGGAAGAAAATAACTTTATATCAAAACAACTCCCAGCATGATTTCTTAACTGATAACTAGTTCTGATATGACAAATGGGTTCCGTGCTTTGGGCATTGAGCACTCACCTAGTACTTCCATTTCCCTCTTTTTGTATTCCACGGGTTCAAGCTTTAAAAGCAAGTGATGGAGGAGTTGGCAGATACTTGGGAAATGAGTATACGGTTGCCTGCATATTGCACAATGGGATTCCCGGGCGTAATGCATAGCCTTATGGACGCACCAGAAACATGACATATGACCACATGCTGCACCAATAAACGCCAAATGAGATTCAAAAATATACCACACTGGTTTTAGATCATCATAAACAGCAAAACCTTACCAATAACAACTGGTTTATACAGAAGCTCCCTGCAAGACATATTGAAAAAGCATACGAGATTATTAGCACATTTGCGCAGAATCGAAGCCAATCCAATGCTCATCAAAGAGAAAAAGGTAAGTAACCTGAATAATTAGAACTTTAAAAGTAAGTGGCAGCATGTTGTTTCACCACACCATCAGGCATCTACCGCAATAAGAGTTATAAATCAATTTATTTGTGTTTTCTTAATGTCAAGTGGGGTGTGGAATTAAGCCGACACAAATCAATTAAGCCTCGCATAGTGCCGTGGCCACCCAAATGTGGCAACACTTGGTGATCGGTATTGCTAGATAGATTAGATATAGTCACGAGTTTCTGGCACCGAACATCGAGGAGGACGAGTACAGTAGGACCCAATTCGCATCGGATCAAGACGAGGGACGCGCAATAAGCAGCCAAGCAGGCGTATCCACAACCCACGCGGGAGATTATTCGGCCCGCCATGGCCTCGCCAACGGAGAGGAGGAGAAAGGTGGCGTGTAAACTCACAGGCATACGCAGCACTGGAACCGCGGGTCCTCCAGATCGTCGAAGCCAGCTCCACCGGCGGCGGCGGCGGCGGAGGCCTCCTCCTTCTTCTCCGTGGGGTGGCTCGAGCTGCTGTCGTCGGAGGCCATCCTCCGCCTCGGTGGAAGTGGAACGCGGATGGGGATTCTGCAGGTGCCGGGGGGGTGAGCAGCCAAGATGCGATGACTATGCGAGTGCCGAGTGCGCGAGAAAAGGACGGGGAGGAAGGGGCCGAGCCGCACCCCGCGGTTTGGGCCTTGGGGACGAAGGAAGGAACTGACCATTCACGCTCCGTGTCCGGTTCGTCCGGTCGCGTTCGGGTGCCGTGTTTTAGTGCGTCCAGTCTACCCACAAAACCATATCCTTCCCAATTTGTACTCCGTATTATTTTTTTAGGGTAAATGCCGCTTTATTTTAACTAGGAAACATGCCCGTGCATTGCAACAGGAGAAACAATCCACCCACATGACCATATAATCACATGACCATATAATTTTTGAACGCATGACACAATATCCTATCAACTCAGATGAAATCAAAAGATAAAATGAGCAAAGCTAGAGGATTAACATACATCTCCAGTAACAATATTAATTGTGCAAAGCAAAAAAGGATAGCTATGTATCAATAGATTTAGCTTGATGCCACATCAATTCACATGTTTGAAGTTTGATCCTCAAATTGACCAATCTCGAAAATATTTTGTTGTTGAATAAATATGAACCAAAGGAATTAAACGTATAAAATAATTCTAACCAATTAAGAATCTACAATTGACACATAATCGTGGTGCTAATAGCAGAATGACCATTTTCTTAAACAAATTTTAGAACCAAAGATTAATGGGAAACTTCTGGCTTCTAAGATAATGGAACTCGGTCTTCTCATACTGCTCAAGTACATCCTTACCTTCTCATTTAGGACCTGAAAGCTGAAAAGAAGCAAAAAAGAAAGTCAAATTTGTGGTCACTGGAAACATTTACAATGTAAACCAAAAATATAGTGTTCCCACGACTACCTTATTAGAGAACCTGTATATATTTGAAGGTGTGTCTAGAAGGCAATTAATTAAGTCCAATTGATGGATAGCGTTTTTATCAGAAAAGTGATTTTTTTCAGTCATCAACTGATAAAAAATGCATCCTATACTCCAAATGGAAGGTAAATGTCGCATTTTGGAGGAAACGACATTCCAAACATGTTAAGAAACATGAATATAAGCAAAATCCAGGAAATTATTAAAGATGATTTTACTCTTCTTGGAAGCAAGATAAGTTCGTTCGAATGTAGTCGAAGTCATTTATTGTCCAGCATTATAGTATTACTAACATGTCTACACTGCTAACTAAAATGCTAACTAAGTGGCAACTATTCTCTACCTTGCAGTTGTGTTTTCTGGAGCTCACTGAGGACAAAGGAATAACACATGTGACAGAAGAAGTAGGGGGCAGGGAGTTTAGTATTATACATGATAAGCATTTGAAAAACAGTATTTGATGCAAATACACAAGAGATTGGGATCTACAATGTTTAAAGATGGTAATTCCAAAAGGAGTAAGAATTCTCCTTGAAACCAGAAGCATATGTACAAAATAAGAACTACACAGATTTTCCATGGTCAACCATTGAGAAGTTTAACGCATGACAAAACTCCAATACATCTACAGAAGATCTCCATTGATCACGGGGAGGCACAACCAACGTATTGCTAAATGATAATATGCATTAAATAAAAGTTGGTAGAATATGATTTTGGTTTCACATCCATCTTCTGTAAAGCAGCGGCCCCTGCCATCAAATGCTGATGGGGAGACTCTGACCTGTGAATGTCCATTACTTTCTTCCTTGATAGCTACACAAAATGTGTAACAAATGAATAGGGGCAAGTTCTGCAGCAAGACAAACCAACACGAACATCTAGCCTACAACCATGTTAGGAAACAGAGAAATATAGCTACTGAAACATATTATTATTTTCAGTCAACTTACATATATAGGGTGTAGTTTTTTTCCCCACCCCATCTTTACTAAAATGAAGCCAACAGAAATAAGTTTAGGTCGTGAATGAATACACAGCCACACACATCAGGAAGCTACCTACATACAGACCAAAAATACCAGCCGCACTTTGCTAGCTGCTAAGCACCGGTACACAAGATTTATCTCATCACTGATTTGAAAATTTATGCTTCCAGTCAGTGATATTGCTCGACGGGATCTTTGCTCGGTCCGAACCAATAAATGGAGGTGCCAAGCTAAATGGGATTTAACATAAAAGTAAAACAACGTCGTACCTCAAAATCAGTGACCAAAGACCGTAAGCCAAATGGAGATGGAGTAGCACCAATACCCAGAAAATCTACAAATCCACTGCTTTGATCTGAAGGTACTTTCTAATTTTTAGAAGTAGAAATCACATGAAAGTCACCTGAAAAGGAGCATCATAGAAACTTATAGAAAATCCACTGCAATTCTGGGCAGCATTCATAGTGTTGTTGGAACAACATGTGAGTGCAAGCATGATACTGAAGGTGCTATACCATTGCATCTATTTTATAAAATGTGCAAAGCTAATTAACCTTGAAAGATCCACTTGTTGAGTTCATCCTCTACATATCTATACACGCAATTTATTCAGGTAAATTCCATTTTCTTTAACACTGAAAGAATCATAAAAATTGATTGACTTAAATGCAATATCACAATAAAATGGATCTGATGAGAAAGAGGAAGGTGGATTGCTTTGCTTATCTGACAAAGACGGGCGATAAACCCTGCGTCGGCGCGTTGAGCATGGCCTTGTGTAAGCTGGCAACGCGGATCTGCGTTCCCACACCCACGTACAAGTCGGAGCTGTCCCGTCGTGTCGCCGGTGGGGCTTCAATAGACGACGTCGTCAGCCTGCTCATAAGAATGATTTCTATCAAGTCATGAGCAATTGTCAAGTGGATTTCAAAGTTCAGTTTGTATATAAAATCTTCTGTAGCGTATATTGAATTGGAGTTCAGCTCAGATATATCGAAAGGAGGCTGCAACTCGGTGTACAAATACCTTAAACCTTGGGCGATGTCGATGGCTATTTTCATTCATCTGAGCCAAGAGAATTGGGCCGCTTCCCCACCATATAAAGGACGAAAACAAATGAGATCAAATCTACAACACACAGAAAATGCAAATATTTAGTCTGTCCTAATGAAATTGAAGAGATAGACTTACAGTGTGGGTGCTCGTACAGGGTCCCATTTGATTTTTACTCAAAGATTAACATCCTCGAGAATGGGTCACTCTCTCTACAATAGCCCAGAAACTTTGCTATGTTCTCATGATTCAACCTTGCCAGATCAATAACCTACAATGTTCATCCCATTTTATTTATTTACTATTTGAGTTAAAAGGTGTTTCTGAGTCGCAATTTTAGACAAACGAACTACCTTATTTTGGTAAAAGAGCTCATGCTGGCTAGTCTAATGACCTTCAAAGGCGCATAATGATATGACAGAAACCTCAGGTCCATCCTTCATTGTTTCTTTGTAGACTATAGTCTCCAGAGTTGAGCCAATTATGTTGCTAAAATCCTAACACACTACTTCAAGTTCCTAGTGACTCAACTTTGGCAAACTTTTCAGCATATCAGAATCTGAGGAAAGCATGAACAAATTAGCAACAATGTATGTTAGACAAAATAATCAATTTATTTTATATAGTTAATACCAACCAATCAGTATTGTTATCTCGTTGCTCCAACTTTTTGATCTACTCCATGATGATATTCTTATAGAAGGCTTTAGATTGAAGCTTCTGGAGGCAGTAACAGCACCAGTGATCACAAAAACAAGAAGGAGAGCACCGGTTGCAATTTCCAAAACAATAAGCCAAGTCAGTTGCTGCACTTTTTCATCCTTATGCTCAGAAGTATTCTGTTTTCATTGAAAAATCATTCACTTTTCTTTTGATTGCATAAACTGAAGGTTCGGTTTTTAGTCACACTGTCCCAAGACACACCTCAACTTGTATCTTCAAATTCGAGCTTAGCATAGCAAGTGAGAATTGTCTAAAAGTGTAAGACATACACATGATCCAAGTCAACCAATCTAGGCATGGTAAAGTCTACAAAGATGACTCACTACCTTACAGTGTTATCAATTGATGGAAAATTGGCACAGCTTCTAGGATAATCCTGCTAGTACAACTGTAACAGTTACAATAATAATCTTGGTTTTTTCATTTGAATAAAAGAACACAAACCATCACGAGGCCCCTATGGAATCAGCACAACCATGATTCTGGTCTCTTCTTTTTGGGTGGACCATGATTTTGATCTGCTATAAGATTTATCCTTAAGTTCATAATATTCAGAGTTCAGACGTCGCCAGTGGAAAAACTCCAAGCAAAACCATGTATGCGTGAAAGAAATATCAACAGTTAGCACTATCTAGATAATCATGGGAAGAACATATAGAAGTTAATAAAGTCCCAAAGGAATCAATCAAGCGTGGGGAATTTACATGGTTGCTAGCTAGCTAGCATGGTCTATTAGCCAATGGAACACGTACCGGAGGATTCAATTAGGCATGATGTAGTGTAGTTTTGTGCACATCTGGTTGGCTTCCTTCATCGTTGTTGCCGGCTAGTACGTGTGCATCTGGTCATCTTGCTTCTTCGTAGTTCTACACCAGTACCTTGCTCTGAAGTCGATTTGAGTTTCACTCGCTCCTCCCTGATCCTCCCGAGGAGAGGCGCTCCTCACGCGCACCAGTGCCCTCGCACCGCTGCACCCCTGCCGCACCCTTCCATCTTCCTCGTCCTTCTTCTCCTACCTCTCCTCCACCCTGGATCCTCCTCTGTCTCTCTTCTCTACCAGAAAAATCGAATCACCGCCATGACCTTGGAGCTCTCCCTGCCAGCCATGGAGGCCCGCCTCCACTTGCAAGGACTTCGCGCCGCCGCGCCGGATCTCTTCTTCTCCCGCGCCCGCTGGATCCCGCCGCCGCCGTTTTGCATCGAGCAGACGCATCGTCCCCAGCCTGTCGAGCCGCCGCGTTGACCTGATCCAGAAGCTGCGGTCGAGCGCCGCGGCGGGGGCGGCGAGCGGGAAGAGGTGTGGCCGGGGCGGCGGGCGGGTTGAGGTCGGCCGGGGCGGCGGGTGGGTTGAGGTCGGCCGCGGCAGCGAGTGGTGCGACGGCAGCTAGGGTTGGTCAGCCTAGGCAGAGGCCAGGGTCGAGGCGATGCGAGGAGGCAGACGCGTACGGGTATTTTTTTTTCTAGCGAACCGTTTTTCGTGGCA